GCTCCCCAGCAAATTGTTTTACTTTCAGTTTATTATTCATAGTATAAACAGGCACCTTAAAATTGCTTCCAGTATTCACATTAACCACTACGGGACAGTGATGAATGCAGTATAAATACTGAAACAGAGCTTAAAGAACACAGGGTACTTAATCTTTATAACATGTGACTTCAATTCAGTTAGACTCGATACTCTATCATTTAACATCAGAAGAATTGCAGGATGACATTATGGATCTGCAGTTTTATCTTATTCACATTTTTCTTAAGCCCAAGTTTGAAGTAGACCAATTTTCTTATTAGCTCTGATGAGCATACAGCTTCATGCAGGAATTTAGGCAAGCAATTTATAAAGCCTTATCTTACATCACACAGGAAGACTTCAGCAAAGAGGATGTTGCTTAATGTACAGACATGAATAGCCAAAGCTATAAAAAAGAAATCCAGAAGTAGAGAAAAGCATAAAATTAAGCGAGTTACTAGACAGCAAGAGATTAGGTATCATCTACTTCATACGACAAAAAAGTAGCAAGCTGGCTATGAAACAGGCTCTTGGAAAACCTAGCGCTGATGCAACATGCCAGATAATTCACAGTTGGAAGCACCAGCAGAGTCCACAATTTATAGGAATCCTGCAAAAGCAGCTGCGATGGGTTACAAAAAAATCACAGTATTGCACAAGGCAGAAAGGAAGCAGTCGTTTAGCAACCGCTCATTTATTTTCAGTAATTTGTATTCTAAGGGGACAGAGGTGCCTCTTAGCAGCTGTTCAGCCCATGCATACAGTCTACCCTAATGACAGGCCTGGCCTCATGGTACCAGAAGGTGCTTAAGTAGAATGTTGACTGACCTTCACAAAAAAATTTTGGTTTTTTGTTGTTTTCTTTTGGTTTTGCAAATAGCCTACCTCTTCCCAAACTACTTCTCAAAGGTTCTTGACTAACTAGTGATAATAGGTCCCATTACAAGCGATTTTCAAAGCTTATTTTGGTGCAGCTAAGAGAAAGATGAGGAGAATAAATGTGGTGCTGTTATTACCAGGCCTTTCCAGCCACCACAAAAGCTGAGGAGGAACCTGCAACATCAGCAGCCCAAAAACTCTACAGCTAAACTATACTTGCAACTTTGATTAAGTCTTAGAAGCACAAATAAATATGTCGGTGTTACATAGCATACATGACTATGCCAGCCTGGGATGTCTAGGATACTCCTGATGATTCACCAACTGAGTTTACTAAATCTTGCTGCTTATTAAAACTGGAAGTCTGTCTTCTCTCCTCTAAGGGAATGTGCAAAAGCCAGGTTGAAGAGAAAGGGAATCCTCTGCATATTACTAGTAGCATGAGACTCACCTGCACTTGCTTGCGGAGTTTGGTGCATTCGTCTGTCAAAACCTGCAACTGGAGACGGCTCTGTGCAGATTCCAGCTCTGCCTGTCTCCGCAACATTTGCTCCTTTTCTAAAGAGCTAGAGGAAGAAGAGAAAAGCAATCCTTAGGACTAGGTATTAGCTAGGATGCTTCTCCAGGCTGTCAACTCCTATTCTCAGGCTTTACCCAACCCAAGTGCCGTTCAGATAAATCCAAAAGTAACAGAAAAATCTGGTACCACACTCATCCAGTACATTCACCTCGAGACGTTCTTGGTTATGCAATTGTACTGAATGACTCACTCAAGTATTGTTCCATAGGAACAACAGCCTTTCTCCTCACTCCCTCCAAATGTGCTAATTTAGTAGGGGAGAGTAAAAGAGAAATCAGGGGTTTTTTTCCTATAGAAACAGTTTAGAAAATTCTATACCATCAACAGCCATGTCATATACCATGTCAGTAACGTAGCAAGTCATAACACAGCAAGATCTTCAGGCTTGTTTCTACTACCAGTGACTAGTTTTGTATTTCAGGAAAACCTAGCTATATCAGAAATAAACAGATACAGATAAATTCTCTGTGAATGCCCACATAGAAGCCACATTTACTTCCTCACCTTGAGCCTAAAAGTGCGTACACACACCATTTAGCAGCAGCAGTTATAATAACATACTTCACTTTCTCTTTCATATAGGCTTTACATATCAAAGAATGCTTAAAGAGGGGGAAGAAACACCAGTATTCCTTAAAATTATCTGTACATTTGGTCTATAATGTTGACCGCTGCATTCTGCACTTCAAAAGTTGCAATATTCCAGTTATTTCAGTAGTTTAGGTGCAGGGAGATCCTGCAAGTACCTAAGTACCCTCTAAATATACAGACCTAGCCTTGCACGTTCACTAAGCACAGAATTCTGTCATTTCCCTATAGCTTCTTCACAAGATTTTTTTTTTTGCTGCAGAAGAAACAGGTGAAATGCTGTATTTAACCATTGCAAACACATTCTTTACACGAGTACCCAGATCTCGAAGGCTGCCTTTTTCAAATGTGAAGAACAAAACCCGTGATCTTATGTCTAATTTGAGGCTATGTGCAAACAATATTGATGCATGCATCAGCGTTCACATTTGTCCTCCACTCGTGGCTGTGTGCCACAAAGCAGCCACTGCCAGCAGCTTCACGGGACTGACAGGCGGTTGTTGCTGTCTGCTTCCCAACAAAAACAGGAGGCAGAGGAGACATAGGGCAAGCGGGGAAGAGCTGCAGCAAGATTCTGAGACACAAGCAGCAGTTCGACAACCACCCCTCTGTGAGGGATAGCAAGATTTAAAACACCCAAATGTCTTCTGTGCTTTCGAAAAAAATCTTATTTATCGTTTGTTTTGCAGTGTCAATTCAGTAAAAAGAAGCGTGACCCTTCTAAAGGTACAGCTCAAGCACCATCAGGCAGCGGTAATCTGGACAAAAGAGATATTCTTCCCTTCGTGACAGTTACTCCTCAATCATTTCTGATTAACAATAATCAAGATAGTGAGGCTTCTGTTGAAAAATCGCATTGAAAAAACAGCAGTAGAGTTAGAGACACGTGAAGACGACCCCAATTAAATTCTATTCATTACAAGATTCAGAACTCCGATATCTGCAGCCTTTTAATTTCAGAACAGTGTCTGTGACAGCATCTTACTGAAAAGAAATTAGTCCCCATTTTCATACATGCTTTTCCTTTTTCAATAAAAAGTCTACATTTAAGTTGGAGGGGGAAGCAGAGTCATAGTAATGCTTGCTGACCTTTTGTAAGTAAAGCTACATGAAGAGTTTGACAAAGCAAGATGAAAAGTGATTCATATGAGAGATTATTCTCTTTAATGCATGCAGAAAAGATGGCAGAAAAGGTCAGCTATTCACCCCCCTTGCATTTCTAACTATGCCTCGCTTTTCTCATCTAATGATGAATTAGCAATATACAGCTTTTTGGCAACAACTCTGCATGTTCTCCCACGATGACATTTCAGGATACAGCACAAGACAGCTTTTGCTGTTTCAGTGCTGCAAAGCGCAAACTCACGATTTCTGTTCCAAAAGAAAATTCTCCTTCCAGGTAAGACACGTGCAACGCAGCAAGGCCTTGGTTTGTTAAACCAGCCATACTCATGATAATCCCCAAGGGAATGCACAAATTGCTTTAGAATAATACAGGAAATTAAAGTATGACGTAGAAGCTGGACTGCAGTTTTCAATGGCATGCAATCGGTAAAGTCATATCTTTACGTGGAGACTCTCATACCTTTTCATGCGTTCCTGTTCACTGGTATCCAGCGCTTTCAAAGTGCGAGCATACAGGACCACAATGTCAGAACGTTTTGCTTTCTTATTGCACTGAAATAAAAGACAAGTTCAATTCATCTACAAGAATTTAATTATCCGAACTATGCATCCCTACAAGTTGCTAGGTATTATTTCAAAAAATCCCTATAGCTTTGAAAGGAGAGGTTGTCTACTTGAAAACAAATCCACAAAACCACAAACATTAACACAGTGTGTTTGCGAGACACTCCCTCATACAGACACAGATTTAGGAACCCCTGAGTATACTCCCAACTCTGTTATTTATGTATTATATTCCTTCAATCAAATCCTATAGGCCCAAATCCATAAAAGCATTCTAGCATCAGTATGAAACACCGACATCCCACTGTTTTCAGTGATAGACAGGGAGTCAAATATTTCAATAATTTTGTGCATCTGGCTGTGACCATTTAGCACTTTAGCTTCACCTTAAAAAGAAGAGATAATGCCTCCCCCTGAGTTGGGCCTTGGAAGAAATTACAGCATCTGCAAGCTTACTGTTTTGCAAATATACTCTGTTGATCAGAAAAGAGGCAGTGAATACTCTGATCAAGTAACCGCCACTGAACATTAAATTACTACATGCGCTTAAAATGTGGGCTTCTCTATTATTTAGTAGCACGAAGATATCACGGGCAACAGTTTCAGATCAGACAACCCCCTTCCCTTTGTGAAGAACTGCCTTGCAGAGCAGTAAGTGGCTAAGACAGCTTTCCTGGCAGCCAGCAGCTGTCACTGGCAGGATCAGGAATGCTGCAATTTCACAGTAAGTTGCACTCAAGCCACTTAGTATACAGAGCACCATGCACAGCAGCTCTGGGCTATTCAAGCAGAGAATGCCCAGTCGCAAAGGACAGCGATTGAAAATGAAGGGAAGGTGCTTTAGCTGCAAGGTTCTCTCCAGAGCAAGTTCTCCCAGGAACTTTTCAGTAGTTACCTCACTGGAAGAAAAAGAGGGAGCAAGCACCCCTTACGAGTTGTTTGGGTTCAAGAAGAAAGCAGGCACAAAATTACAAAGAGCAAAGGTGCCGGGAAGGTCTCTGAGAATTCTGTCTGGACCTGGAGTGGGTGAAAAAAAGCTTACACAGAATTGATAGGGATAAGAAAAATAAGGTTTGGGTCTTTGCGATGGCAACAGTGATTTTTTAGGTTTAATCACAGTGCATGTCAACAGGGAGTTTCTTGTTGAGAGGAGGGAATCCTGCACAAAGTCAAGCAACACTGTGGAATCTCTCAAAATGACAAAGCCACGTCAATAGGGAGTTTCTTGTTGAGAGGAAGGAATCCTGCACAAAGTCAAGCAAGACTGTGGAATCTCTCAAAATGACAAAGCCAAAGAAATCCTGGGCTTCCAGCCACTGACTCGGAAAGCAGCAGAACTGAATCCTATTTACAAGGTACTCGTTGACCTATTTTTTTGCCAATATTCCTTTCTGGAGAAAAGGACTAAGGAATGGAAGCACATCACAGAGAAGTGCAGACCTAATCGAAGGAGATCAGTATTACCCATGGAACCAAAGCTGAAAAGAGCACCTTAAAAAGCAGATCTACCACTTGCAAAGGGACATTAAAGAATGCACCTTCTTTCTCAGTTCACTTTCCGCAAGGTACCTAAACAACCTGATCTGCTTAAAGGCTGCAAAAGCAGATGCAGTTCAAAACTGCAGAAGATTAACTGACTGAAAACAGTTCTCAAACAGATTTCTTGTCCAATAACTTCTTCTTTCTGCTTAGTTAATTGCTTCTAGGAATCAGTCTGCCATTCCCACACTTCAGGACCACAGTGCAGCGTTCCGAAAACCATTTACAGGTTTAGCACTTGAAGCCTCCAACTTCCGAGTCTGCTACTCACAAATGCTCTACTTCAGGGAGAAAATCCAAGTCAGAATTCTCCCTTGAAAGCAGTGCTAGCTGTTCCTGGCCTAGTTACATCAAAACAACGGTGATTTTTGTTATTTCTGACAGCAGGCAAAGGTGGATTCTTCATGCAGCGAGCAGCTGTAACAGTTACAGCGATCACACCTGCAGCAGAAGTTACCCCATAGCAAGTCCTTTCCAGGGCACATAAATGTCCATTTTACCTGAGGGCACTTCCCTGCCTGTCCCTTGAGCCACCTTTCAATGCACGTGTAACCAAACAGGTGTCCACACCGCAACGCAGAGAGACGGTGGTCCCCAGCGTTGGTCCACTGCTCAAAGCAGATTGCACAGGTATCCCCTTCCTCCTCATCCAGTGGTACAACAGGAACTGATGGCTCCAATTTCTTTAGCGGAGTTCTCTAGGATGAAAAATTAAAAATATCACACAACGAGTGCAGCATTTACCATATTTAATCTGTCTCCAAAAGCATTTAGGTCACCTTACCTGTTTTTGCTGGACTTCAGCCTCTTCATCTTCATGACTTCCATGTTCTGCAGAAGCTTGAGACAAAGCTTGAGATGGCTCTGCTTGGACCTGACTGGAAACTAAAGAAAGCACTGCTTAAATGAACTGATACTTAATGGGGGGAAAAGGAGTTCTCCTCGACTTGATCTGAAATCATCGGGGCACAAGCAGTGCAACAATGGCACAGGTTACGTACAAAGCTTCAGATCAACGTCTTGGATACTGAAGGTCGGGCAGTCTGTGTGTAAGCCCTTCTATTCATCAACAGTTCTGCTGAAGAACTTTCTGTTTTCTTTTATAAAAAGCAGCAGAATTTCAGTGAAAAAGGAGAGGTATTTTAAAGACAGCAATTGTTATTAGGATTTTCCAACCTGCTCGAAACTCTGCGTACAGGTCTATAGTTAGGCTGATGTAAGGTTACACCCCTGCATCACTATGCCTGGAGAAAGACAGACACTGATATGCAGAAGTTATTTTGCCAAGGGATCTAAGCATACATATTTCATGTGCCAAGAAAGCATTTACCGTATGCTATCTGTCCATTCACCCTGACTTAAGCAGTTTCCCAGCTGGTAGTTATCCGAACTATCAATTCTGCTGGGCCATATGTTTTTGTGGTGGGCCTCTGTTAGCCCTTCTGTTGAAGCATGGGCACACAGAAATGCTATGTTTGGATTACCACCACTAGCACACTAAAAAAAATGGAGCATAAATCACTGTCTCCTCCCTATCCCCTGACAAAACAAAAGAGTTATTAGTCACATTTAGTATTTGAGGCAGATATTTTCAATTCAGTAGGGAGGTATCACCTAACCTGGGCTAACGTCAATAAAGTTTTCAGGCTCTATGGTTCTGGGCTGAAGAGGAAACTCTGGCTTATATAAGCAAAAAAGACAAGGGAATTCCAGAAAACCCAACCGAGAGCATATGTTCATACAATATTAGACAGCACTTAACAGCTTGAGCTCCTGTCACGTGTCAGACTAGCTCAGAACAAGCGGAATGAATCTGTTCAAAAGACGTCTCATAGATGTACCCTCAAAAAAAGGTGTCAAGGTGGGCTGGCCAATCAAAAACAAAACTAAGGGCAGAGTGTGAAGCCCAAAGACTTTCCTTAGAGACTGAAGTAAAAAGACCCAACCTAATCTTATTCTCATATTCTCTGGGCATTGATAACCTTGACTAGCAAGTTAACTATTTGTCACTCTTATATAAACTGCATATGTTCATCACAAACAATGTCACTGAAGTGTGTGGCAGCCTGCGAGCATGAGTTTGGGCAAAGGATTGTGAGCCAGAAAAAGCCGAGGAAAGAAAAACACAAACAAAAAGCCCACTGTCCTAAGCGCCTCTGTCTCCTCAGCTAAGTGTCACAAGAAGTTACAGGAACGAAAAGAAAACTCTAAACGGAAGCAGAGTGAAATCCCAAATAATTACAAAACACTGACTCAGATCCGCTGAAAATTGAAAGCACTGCTGATCTCCAAGGTGCGACCTGATGTCACCAATAATACTCCTTGATAATATATAACAGGGGAAGCGTGGTAAACGATAATCTCTAAACTTGAAGTTATTCTGAACATTTCCAGGATTATTTAGAAGTAGCAGCCTGCAAATAGCAAAAAGATTGCAATAAACATTAGGGCAGCAATCGCGCGTTGCTGCTACTGCTCTTAGGAACTGCTTGCCAGAAAGCCTCATAGTAGCAACCTGCTCCCGTCAGCTGTGGGCATAATGATCTCTTCGCACCGTCTGTTGTGAAGCTCGAAAGGATTTCCCCACTGAGTTTTGAAACAGCAAGATGAATTTCTGAAATTGGTCTCTACACAGTTCAAACATAGCACAAACCTCTGGAACTAGCTGCTGGAGGTGTCTCCTGGGCTGATGGTAACAGCGGTGTTGCAGCCTCCACCGCTTCCTCCTCCTCAGCAGAAGTGCTGCCATCAGAGTCGCTCACTACTATCGTTTCATCTGAGCTGTGTTCCTGGTTGTCCCTCGCAATATTCGAGGGCTCCAGATGCGGAACTGGTCCTGTAGCTGGCTCCTGGGTCCTGCTGAGTTGAAAGTAACTGTCCAATGCTGCCCTGAGCCCAGAAAAGAAAGAAATAAAAGCCACAGTTAGTTCAGTTAAGTTAAAGACTTCTCCACGCTTGTTTGCAGTAGAACTCCTAGGCCCTGACTGCAGCAGGAAGGTATCAAAGTTATGAAGACAGACTACCTCTGGTAGAGGGGCAATCCCATACAATCGCCCACTTTATGAACAATCAGCAGTATCATACAGCAACAATTCATTTTGCTCAGCTCAAAGAAAATCTCCTTCTCGTTACAACAATGATATCGTCCTCTTTTGGGGTGGGGTGAGGGGCGGTTGGAGAGGAGAAAAGCGAAGAAATATTGTTCACTAATAGCCTAAGGAACTCCTAATCGGTACCTCCAATCCTAACTCAGACCTGGTTCCCATAGCCACTGGTAATACTAGAAGCAAAGGCTTGTATTGGAGTCTCATTCCATTGACTATTTTAAACCTGGTCTTTCTACTTTCTTCTTTTTCCTACTGGAACTTCATCCCTGGATAGAAACATCCTCCCCTCTGCCCCCATCAGTTCAGCTATCATCTCAATTATCCTTCACATTCAAAAAAGAAGTTTTTTCAGGTTGTCTGCTAGCCCTGAGAACTACAGTGACCTTCATATGCAATCCAAGGGCAAACAGTACAGTTATGTTTAATCATCTGGGAGGAGAGGAGTTCTTGGTTTCACTGAATTTAAAGGCAATGTTCCAGTTAATTATAATTTCACCCTTAGCATTTACAAAAGCTATAAAGATGAAACAAAAACCAAACAAATCAGAAATGGGGATTTATTTCTGGCTGGAGAACATCCCCACTCATCCCCCTTTAAACCCATCACAAATGGTATTAAACACAGAATATTTTTTTCTTTGCCTGAAGGTAACAAAAAAACCCCACAACCCTACAGAAAAATATTAGTTTGCATGTTTGTGAAAGTTTCTGCAGCAATTGTCACCAGAAAACAAACATTAATCAGGCAGTCCCCAAATCAAAGGTGAAATGCAAAACAGAGCACAAGCTCCACTGAGCTAAATGCTGGCTGGAATTTAGCTCAGCTGAGAGTCAGCACTGCTGCGGGGAGCACCGACAGGAATCTGGCAGAGCAGAGGGAACGGTGGGAGCAGAAGCTCCGCAAGCAAGATGGAAAGTGTAGAAGGGCTCAGGAGTCAACACCACCACTGCCAACATAAGAAATGGTGGGATTCACTTAACAAGGGCAAAGATCCTGCCAGAAGAGATCAGAAAGCGCTGCGCTATTATTGAGTTTAAATTGTATGTGAGGTGCCCAGAATTTGGCCACGGCCACACACCTGGACTAAGCTGGGCTTTATAGGCCAGGAAGCAAGGCAGTTTTACACTGATGCCAGGCTTGGTAAGAGTGCAGTTCAGATCCAATTTCATTTGTGCTTTACCTGGCACTGATTGTCCTCTGGGAACCACCAATTCTCTGTTGCCTGCGAGCTCTCCTCACTCGCGGACGCTGCGTAACATGTGGCACAGGCAATGGCCGATACGGATCAAATGCCCCTTGTAGCCTTTGCAGTCCATTGAGAGCCACAGGAGGATGCAACTGTGGGTCTGGATCAGCAGGTGCTTCCCTTGCGGTACCAGCATTTGGTATGACAACAGCATCAGCAGCAGGAAGAACTGTAATGCTGCCTTCTCCTTCATCGAGCACTGGAGCATGGGATGACAGCGCTGCGTGAGCAGAGGGCTCTGTGGGAAGCGTCCTGAGGTTCTCTACAGAGTAACCAGCCGCTGGTTGGAGATCAACTTCCATCTCTTCTTGAGCCATTTCTGCAAAGAGTTGAAGAAAAATAGGATTTATTTGCAGGTGTGCACCCTAGTTCTAGCCTGACAGGAGCAAGAATCAGGTGCAGCAGTCAGTGACCACAAAAGCCTTTAGAATTCAGACTCAAGAGAAAAATGTGTCCTTTTGCAGCAGAGCTAAACCATCTCAAGTCGATACACATACATGAGCTGGCATAGCACGCAGCACCCTCCCAGAGTCCTGGACTCAAAGTCTTTGGCTCAACAGCAGCTAGCACCGAAGGCACATCACAAAATCGACTTAAGTAAGCCTTTGGATGAATATGGAAAGGTACGGATTTCTTGCTGGCATCATTTACTTGCCAGTAAATTCATGTGGATTTTGGAGAACAGAGTTTGGAAATATTCTAGAGATTCTCCATGGTGAGCAGCACTGCACAAACACCCACAAATACATCCAGAAACAAGCTCTACAATGCAGTCCTTTGTCTGTCACGTTGCTCCCTCTGGAGGTGTGTTTATTTTCAAGTTTCTTCAAATAAAATTCCATTATAGTAACAGACACTGCGACCCTTACCCACAGCTCACTTAACAGGCCATTCAGGTCCTTTATATTCACCGACACCATGCAAACTCAGAAACAGTATCACAGCAGAACCTACAACCGAGATGTTATGGGTAGCAAGTTACCTACAGCATCAGCATTTGCAGCTCCATATTCAGCCTGAGACCAGATAAACACAAAATTTGCAGTAAAAACCTCACATACATTATTTAAGGATGGTTGCCCTGAAAAAATCTTTGGGATAAAGATTTCGGGTTACCTCCTAAACAGAAGTACTACCTTAGGTTTTGAAGAAAACCAGAGGAGACTGTAATTGCTAATTATTACGCAGCTGTTAGCCACCTAATTAGAGCACTTTAGTCAGCCTGTTCTACAGGCATTCTCACAACACAAAAAAAGTTCAAGATTATTTTGTTAATTGAATAAACAGGCATGTAAAAAAAAAAAAAAAAGCCCTTTTTTGGAGGAGGTGTGTGGATTAAATTCTGCAAGCTGCTGAAGGTCATTCACGTTCTCAAAAAATACTTAGGCAATCATAAACCTGAAAGGCCTTGGAAATTGTAGACCTCTAGCATTATTTAAGAGCCCAAAGCACACACCAAAACTTATTAGGCTAGGCGCTGTGCAAACAGAGCAAAGGCTGCTTTCAGTACAAAGAATAACCAGAAAATGTCTATAAGAATTACCAGAGGGGGATATACTAATGCTCACATATTTTTATAGACCTTTTAAGATATTCTAACTTACCATTTGTAATTCTTATCCTAATTACCAATTCAGCCTAAGTTAGGCCAAAAATAGATGTTAAATGCCACCTCCTACCAGAACAGTCAAGATATGATAATATTCAATCATCGAGCACTGCTTCTCTAGCACGAAACTCACGTTCATAAAATTGCCACCCATAAGCATAACAGGCCCTTTGTTTTCCTCATAAATTAACTGTGAGACTTAAAAACACCGCATATGTTCACCATTGTGGGTTAACTAACCCCACATATTTATTAATTAAAAAAAAAAAAAAAAGACGACTTTAAGACTGATGTTTTCACCATTAAATCTTAGAGTCTTCCCAAAAGGGGCAAAGGCCAGCGCTTCCTCCAGCCAGACAGCCAGCTGCCCACCCAGCAGTGACTGGAGGCGCCTGCAGATGGAAGGTCTCCATAAAAAAACATCTTGGGCCCAGACGAGAAAAAAAATCAGAGCGTTTTCAGAGGACAGAGTCTGAGCAGCTGCGCAGCAGGCAGCCTCCCAGAAAGCACTAACCCGAAGGCTGAAGCCTGAAGCACAGCCTTCCCCTGGCGGAGGGGCCTCCTCAGCCCGCACCTCTCGGCGCTGCTCAGGCAAACCCGGGCCCAGCTCTGCATCTCCACGAGTTCCTATGTTGCACCTGCTTTAGCATAAAGTTAACCCCCAAAAAACCCCAAACAAGACCCAAAATGAAGAGCACGCTCCACAAACATGGGTTTATTTCTGGCTTTTTACATGGCTCGCTTATTT